AAAGATAGACATAGAAGTCCTTGGATAGTCAAAAGGTAGTAGAGAGCTGATGGAAGGATTGGAGTCCGTGAGTATAAAATATATCACGGATAGCATGAATGCCCGCGGATGTCCATTTTTGTAATGGGAGATCAGGAGACAGGAGTTGCAGCGTGAGAAGTGGTAATTGGAGTAGAGCTTGATGATGCAGTCCTTTTGAAGACTGTTGTATAGCTTTCCATGTCTTAAAGGTGGCATTTATGGTTGGCATAAATGAGCGGGCTGGGTGGTGAGTGAACTATACTGCAGTAGTTGTGGAGCAGATGACAGTGCTGCTGCCTCATTTTGTAGCCTGGGAATTTTAAAGTCTGAAGACCACCAGTGTTTAGCTTGATCTAGGAGAGCTGCTTTGTAATAGAGCCTGATGTTGGGAACCCCCAGTCCTGCAAAATCCTTTGGCATAGTTAGGTATGCTGATTTTAGACGTGGCTTACATGCTGCCCAGATGAAATTATTGACAATATGTTGAATTTTGGCCAGATTGGATTGCAGCATAGGAATTGGGAGGGTCTGAAAAAAGTATAAAACATGCGACTATACGCCCTGCCCAAGAAACGTGAAGTGAAGACACAGGTACATACTGAGTGCAGCTTCTGTAGCAGAGAGACCAGGTTAACTCTAAGTAGCATATGAGAGGGAGAGGTAAGTTGAATGCCTAAGTACGTCATAGAAGAGCCCAGGAAAAGGGAGACACCCGAGATATAGCACTTTTTAAAGAGGGAGGGATGGATACTCCCAGAATAGAGGACTTGGAATGGTTCAATTTGTATAAAGAGATCTCACCAAACTTTTCCAAGAGGAGGCACAGAGGTGGCAGTGACAATAAGGGGTTTGTCAATGAGATTATAATATCATCGGCATATAAGCCAATTTTGAGGGAGGCCTGAGCTACATCTATTCCAGTGGTAAAGGGATTAGAACGAATAGCCTGAGCAAGGGGCTCAATTACAAGAGCAAAAATTAAAGAAGATAGTGGGCACTCTTGGCAGGTACCATTAGTAATTGGGAACGGATTAGAGGGGATACCAGAGGTCAATACTTTAGCACTAGGCCTAGAGTATAGGGCCATAATAACTTGGAGGAAATGTTATGCCAAATTAATGTTATGCAAAAAAGAACGGCTTCTAATTACTGTACATCCAGGGAACCCTATCAAAAGCCTTCTCTGCGTCTAGGGAAATCAGCAGGGAAGGAGCTTGATGATGCTCAGCCCAAGAAATAAGATCAATGAATCTTCTCCTGTCATCAGCTGCTTGACATTGGCGAATGAAGCCCACTTGATCAGGGTGGGTGGGGTGAGGCATCTGAAGCACAAGTTGGGAAGCTAATAAATTGGCGTATATTTTAAGGTCTATATTGAGTAGGGAGATGGGATGGTAATTAGCTGGGTCTTGAGTAGGTTTACCTGGTTTGGGGATACTTGTGACAATAGCCTCAAGGGATTCAGCTGGTATCTCTCCAGTTGTGAGAAATCTATTAAGGGAGTTGCATAGATGTAGGTAAGCTGCTCTTGATAAATCTTATAGTACTCATTACAGAAACCATCCAGTCCCAGAGCCTTATGAGATGGTAAATCTGCAATAGCCACCTTGATCTCCTGAGTAGAGAACGGCATTGATAGGTTTTCAATTTGCTCCGGGGTTAAGGAAGGAAGTCTTAGTGAAGCTAGGAAGTCTTGGATGGCTGTGGGAGTGGGTTTGGGTTCAGCATGGGATAGATGTAGGTTGTAGAGTGTCGAGTAGAAAGCGCCAAAACAGTTGGAGATGTCTTTGGGATTAGTGAGTCTATTACCTTGAGAATTAAAGAGATAAGGAATTTTGGACTGTGCTGCTCTACGCTTATATTGTTGGGTTAAATATTTCTCTGATTTGCCACTGTGGGCATACCAATTTAATTTGAGTCTCCGAAGACAGAAGTCATAACCATTCTGGAGCTAGGATCCTAGTTCAGCTCTTCATTTCCGCAGTTCAGTGATGTCTGGGGGGTTTTGATCTATTTTATGAGAAAGTTCTAATACCCAAATGCACTCTAAAAAGAGGTAATAGTGGAGGTACGTTTTTTTCTTTTCTCGGGCTCCAAGTTTCATAAAGATCCCTCTGATGACTGACTTGTGTGCATTACAGATAGTGGAAATATTAGCAATAGAGCCACTATTAGAGGCAAAGTAAGCAGTTGTCTTGGAGCGGACCTGTTCCTGAGTATCCAAAGAGTTCAAAAGGGAGGCGTTTAAACGCCATAATGAGTGGGTTTTGACCTGTGAGGAAGGGTATAGCGTAATGGACACAGGTACATAGTCAGACCACGTGAAGAGCTCTGAACTTGTTGTAGCAGTCCCTTGGAGAGAAGGAACAGGTCAATCCGAGAGTGGTTGTGCTGAGTATGCGAGTAAAAAGAATAATCTCTTTCATTACCATGCTGGCATCTCCAAGGATCGTAAAGGTGTTCTGAGGACAAAAGAGAAGATAGGACTGTGGATCTCTTTCTTTGATTAATATTGGATGAGTCAATGGTGGGGTCTACAACTTCATCTCTGGGATAATGCTGCAACTTCCGCATTACAGACCTATAAAAGGATTTCTGGTGTGTATTTGGTGAGACATATTAGGATATTTGGAGGGCTAAGGGGAGATGCCAAAATGGTTCAGAAGAAAAGAAGGAAGAAAAGGAGGTTAGATGGTGAAAAATGACACAAAGGGACTATAAACACCCAATATCACTAAATTTGACACTTACAAATGGTAGAGCAGTGTCAATGGGTATCTCCAAGTGTCTGGGACTCCTGAACAAAGAACAATTATAGCAAATAAATCAACAATGGTAAAATAACAGATAAGAGAGAACTGTGTGCATAGCACACTACAAACAAGGAGCGAGGGGGTAATTTCAACAAGGCACCCACTCCTCTACACAGTATGGTTCAAGGCTATGAGCCATCCAGAAATGGATTTAGGTACTAATAAGAATAATAAGCCCAAGTGGAGCATTAAGGCGGATCCCGTTTGTCCCATCGATTGGAGATCTTGGAGGAAGGAATAGATTTAGGCATTAGCGGAGGGTGACGAGAGGTCAGGCCCCAATTGTGTAGCTGCTTAATCCCATGCTTGGGAGATTGGAAAACGATTTGTTGATTCCGATGGGTCACCAGGAGCTTTATCGGGAAATTCCACTTATAGGCAATTTTGTGTTCCATGAGGATCGAGGTGATTGGCGAAAATTCTTTGCGAGCTTGCGACGTAACTGCTGAAAGGTCATTATACAAAGCTATATTGGTATAAGGACCAGGCAGGAATCTAGTGGATCTTGCAGCTCTCATAATCTGTTCTTTAATATGGAAAAAATTAACACAGACCAGAACATCTCTGGAGAGAAAAGGTGGGAGATGCTGCGGTTTGTAGATCCTGTGCGCCCTATCTATCAGCATATCCTGTGGAGTGAGCAGAGGTAGGAGCTTGCGGAACAACTGATGTAGAAATCGGACTAGCTTAGCTGTGGCTATAGACTCAGGCACTCCCCTCACTTTAATGATGTTCCATCTAGAGTGGTCTTCCAAGTCCACCACTTTTAGGCGCAGTTGTCTAATGGCTTCCACCTGCTCATCCTGGGTATCCACAACTGCATTCTGAGCTGTAGTAGCTGATGATAAGTGTTGTTCTATATGCTGAGTACGCTCTTCTAGAAGCTCAATTTTATCATGCAAGTGGGAGACAGAGGCACGCAGTTCGTTTTGGAGGTCTGCTTGCAGGGAAAGGAGCATGGCTTTTAAAGAGTGTTCTGATGCAGGGCTATCCGAGGTTGGAAATGCTGCCAGTGTTTGAGAGGGAAGAGTGTCAGCTGTGGGACTACAAGTCTCAGTGCTGTGCTTCTTCATAGGGGGACGTTTTTAGCAGGAGATTGGGCTGGGGAGTTTGCCACCCACTTACCTTTATCAGAAGGGGAGGATGGGTGCTGTGTCAATCCTCCTCAGCACCTGCCGCATGGTGTGGCTCCTGTTCCCCTTTCCTAGTGCCGGTGCCATGTTGATCCAGAAGCTGTGAGGGCTGCATGAAGAAATCAAGGAGGTGATGCAATCCTTGATGCTGAACCCGCTTGCAGGTCATACTCCCTGAGACTAGGGAGGGATACCCTGCAAGCTGTACCAGTTCCGCTGCTCTAGAAGGCTGGATGGTGCTGTATTGTGTTGCAGAGGAGCAGAGCTCAGAGTTCAGGTGACCATCTTCTCCGGCTGCCACGCCATGACCCAGTTTTTTTTGTGTCAAAGCTTAACTGAACAAGCTGAAGTTAGAAGCTGACTGGCTACCATGCACAGCTGCACCAGAATGTACACTCTCCAGTTTAAGTAAATCAGCCCTAGTGCATGTGCAGACGTTTTCATATTTGGTCTTGCTAATATCATGAAGGGTTGATAGGCCCAAAGCTATCTGGTGGCAGTTTGGAGTTTAAAGGGTTAATTGCCTAGGTAACTTAACCCAGTGATAACAGGGGAGAATGTCACCAGCACACCGAGGATCACCAATATGAGTCTTGCAGGACCCCTTCATCAGGCATGTGGGTCCTGCAAGACTCCGAAACGTTTCCCTTGCTATAACTATGTGATCATTCATTAACACCTGCCTGATGAAGGGGTCCTGCAAGACTCTGAAACATTTCCTTGCTGTAACTATGTGATCATTCATTAAAACCTGCCTGATAAAGGGGTTCTGCAAGATTCCGAAATATTGCCTTGCTGTAACTATGTGATCGTTCATTAAAACCTGCCAGATGAAGGGGTCATACAAGACTCCGAAACGTGGCCTTGCTGTAACTATGTGATCATTCATTAAAACCTGCCTGATAAAGGGGTTCTGCAAGACTCCGAAACGTGGCGTTGCTGTAACTATGTGATTGTTCATTAAAACCTGCCTGATGAAGGGATCCTACAAGACTCCAAAACATTGCCTTGCTATAACTATGTGATCATTCATTAACCTCCCTGGCAGTATTCCCGAGTGTAGCACAGGGTAAAGTTTCAGTACCACAAGCGGTAACCCTGAGCTACACTCAGGAATACCATGTGGCGCTGCTCTGGGATCCCTCTTGCACTTACCTTGTCCTGCGCTCCCGCGATGTCCCTCCTGCAGTGTCCCCGGCAATGTCGGCATCTGTCATCTGGGTTCCGTCCCCTGCGAGCGTCGGGACGTACGGGAGATGGAACAGAGGGAAATTTGAAAATGACAAAAAGTGACATTCACTAAAATCACATAATATAACATTACTGTATCAAACCATTTCACATACATTTTGTCCCGAGTGCTTTGTCCTGTGCCCTGCCTACATTTTTACTATTCTTTTTGCCTGGAAACTAGGAAATGTCCATGCCGTCCAAAAAGTGTCCCTTTAGGTCAAAAGCGGTTTTAAACCAGCTAGAGAACAGCGATAGTAAATCAGAACCACTTGCAGAATTGAGTGATAATGATTTGTGGGGAAATTCGTCATCAGACACTGAAAACAATTTTGCGACTTTGCTCAGCGATGTGCGAACTTGGTGCTATATTTCAAATTTCAGTGTTTTTGGTTTGATTATATTATTGAATTAAATTTATTATTATTATATTATTATTTTTTATGATTATTTATTAAATTATAATTTATGATTTTGTGTTTCAAGTTTTATCCTACCCGGGATGTTTACTAGACTCTTGTTCGGACAGATTTCAGTGAGTTATTCCTAAAAATTACAGGCCTACAATATAATTTGGCCACGCCTAATGTTTTTGCTATTTCTCTGATGGGTTTGTTTTGTTTTTTCAGCCTAATGATGGCTTGCTTCACTGATAGTGACAGCTCTTTGGATCTCATTTTGAGAGTTGACAGCAACAGATTCCAAATGCAAATAGCACACTTGAAATGAACTCTGGACCTTTTATCTGCTCATTGTAATTGGGATAATGAGGGAATAACACACACTTGGCCATGGAACAGCTGAGAAGCCAATTGTCCCATTACTTTTGGTCCCTTAACAAGTGGGAGGCACATATGCAAACTGTTGTAATTCCTACACCCTTCACCTGATTTGGATGTAAATACCCTCAAATTAAAGCTGACAGTCTGCAGTTAAAGCACATCTTGTTCGTTTCATTTCAAATCCATTGTGGTGGTGTATAGAGCCAAAAATGTTAGAATTGTGTTGATGTCCCAATATTTATGGACCTGACTGTAGTTTGTGGTCCCGTGAGCTGGGAAATCTTTGTGCAGGGTGCAGCTGAGAGTGGCATTGTTATGTAAGTGACAGCACGGGTGTGAGGTTGGCCGGTCCTTTGTCATGAGTTGGTGAGAAGGGCAGGGGTCGGGCAACGCGTTCATCAAACCCCCAGGTGTTCACCTGTATTACCAGACCTTCACTGTGAAGGAAGCTGTCTATGAGGGTAATCACAAGCTGTTGTTTGTGTTGTGAGCCATTCACTTGTCTAGTAAAATGCAAGTTCCAGTTACTCTTTGTCTGATTATTCAGTCAATTACCTATTCCGTTAAACATTCATCCTATGGATGATTATCATCAAGCATTTCGAATGCAGTATAGGCACACACCACTGCGTCTAAATACGAGCTCTGTTCATCCACAGACATAAATACAGCTTGTCATTCATGTTTGTAAAGCTCACCCGGCTGCTCAGGAAACGCAGTTCGCTGGGCTGCACCTTGAGGGCCACGTCCCACAAGCAGTTCTAGGAGTTCACTCACCCTTTCACTTGGCTTCACTCCCAGTGTAACATGGCCCTAACGCATCTTTAAATAACCCCTCGTTTGCTTTTAGTAGGAAAATATTTGATGTCATATAAATAGTAGTCGTGTCTAAGTATAAATCAAGGAGGTTTTCAGTGCAGCGATTAGATAATGTAAGTTCAGGAACCACAGACGGTTTCTCGAAATGTTGTTTGCTCTTTCTAACACTGCCAAACCATCCAGGAGAGTTTTGCGATGTCTTGCAACTCAGCCTTTGGGAATACAATGAAACTTGTATAATTAATGTCACCTTTAATGGCATCATTACATCACATAATCTCGCAGAATGAAATTGGGCAACCCTAGGCCCTTTTATTAGGTTCTTCATTCGCCTAAGCGTTTTCTTTATGTGAGGAGATCTAGTTGCTATGGAAACCATTGACTTCAACAAGAGAATAGATTTGTACTGCCATAACAGACATCAGCCGTGTTACCTCTTCTCCTGTGAAGCTCCCTTCTCATCAGAGCGAGCAGAGGAAATGGCCATTTTTTTAGATAATTGAATTTACGTATGAACAGGGTGCAACTTGTGTCACAGTAGAATCAACACTAAAAGAGTATTACTCCTGTTACTCTCACTGTCAGTAGAATTGGGCTACAGATACATGCAGCAGTCTGTCATTCAAATACCTTCTGTACAGAAAGATATCTGGACCTGAGAGATATGAAAATACCCCTTATGTCGTACAGCAGAGGCACCTCTGCATGTAAAAAAAAAATGCTGATAACTTGCATTAACCTCTGGAACGTTTCACCCCCTTCATGATTAGGCTATTTTTTACTATTCAGTAACTGGCAGTTGCGCAGTCATGCAACACTATACACACATGAAATTTTTATCATTTTTTTTCCACACAAATAGACCTCTCTTTTGGTGGCATTTCACCAATGAGTTTTTTTATTTTTTGCCTTATAGCCGAAAACCCCCCGAAAATAAAAAAAAAAAAAAACACCCAAATATTTTCCACTTTCTGTTATAAAACAAAAATTTCTTCATACATTTAGGCCAAAATATATTCTGCTACTTGCCAATAAATGTATAATAATTTGTTTGTGGGAAAGTTATAGCGTCTTCAAACTATGGTACAAAAATTTGGCAGAAATCGTGACATTTGCATACCCTGGCAGAAATTGTGAAATTTGCATACCCTGGCAGAAATTGTGAAAATTGCATACCCTGGCAGAAATTGTGAAATTTGCATACCCTGGCAGAAATCGTGAAATTTGCATACCCTGGCAGAAATCGTGAAATTTGCATACCCTGGCAGAAATTGTGAAATTTCCACACCCTGGCAGAAATTGCAAAAATTTCCACACCCTGGCAGAAATTGTGAAATTTGCATACCCTGGCAGAAATCGTGAAATTTGCATACCCTGGCAGGAATTGTGAAATTTGCACACCCTGGCAGAAATCGTGAAATTTTGGCATTGATATTGAAAATATGACTGATCATGTCAGAAAACTGTCTTTTATTTAAGGATAGTAATCATATGAAGACATTTATTATCAAATAGTTGTTTGGCTCATTTTTAAATCATAATGATAACAGAAACCCAAATGGCCCTGATCAAAATTTTACATACCTTGGAATGTTTGGCCTTGGTACAGACACAGTAGGTGGCACACACACAGGTTAAAATAGCAATTAAAGGTTAATTCCCCACATCTGCAGCTTATTTAAATTGAAGTTAGTGTCTGTGTATATATAGTCAATGAGTTTTTTAGCGCTCATGTGAATTCACTGAGCAGGCTAGAAACTGAGCTATGGGGAGCAGAATAGAACTGTCAAAAGACCTGCATAACAAGGTAATGCAACCTTATAAAGATGGAAAAGTGTCAGGAAAGGCCTGCCCATAGTGCAGGCAAAGATCTGCAGTGCACAAATATGCGCATGCGCAGAGTTATTATGAGGTGGGCAGATGTGCGGGTGCTTGGGCATAAAAAAAAAAAAAACATATGTGCTGGGAGTGCATGCCCTGCGCGCTCCCATCATACATGTCCAGTGCTCACGGAAAGGTCCCGATCTCCTCTTTCAATTGGGACCTTTCCCAATCATGTGACTGCCATGATGACGTGTCACAGCGGTCACATGACCCTAAACCCCGCCCCGCCTCCCGGCTTCTGAAACCCTTAAAGGGCCGGGATGCGCCGGAGTCAAGGGGTTAAGGTGGCTGGTGGTGACGAATAATTAAATAAATAAAGTTGTATACATGTGGGTGTATTTTTTTAAGCCTGGCCTTTACATTGAATCCATCTTGTATACTGCCAAGCTCCCAAAATGTTTTCAGACCATTGGAAAATGGGATTTTGCCAGAATTTGGCCATGGGTTCAGATTTAAATTGAAATTCATTGATTCATGTTTACTGCATACTTTTTCTGGGATTTTACCAAATGTTGACCAGTATGCATGCAATGACCTATGTTGGTCAACCATACATGGTTCGATTTTTGTCCAAACATTTGTAAAAGAATCGTTCATCTTAACATTCTTTCTTGACAACACTGAGTCAACTAATTTCATTTGAAAGTCCTTTCATTTTTTTTCCAGACCTGGTATTTGAATGGAATCTCAGACACACTAAACAGGTTTCATTATGATATGTACAATCTAATGAAAACTGAATTCACAGTTAGAATTTTGTTCTTTTGAGAAAACATTTCCATCCTGTTCTTGAAAAAATCTTCTCAATATGATCAAAAATAAACATTAATGTGACCCCCACTAACCTTAAGGGTCCTTTCACACGGGCATTCCTTTTTTTTCTTCAGTCACGATTTTTCAAATATTCACTAATGGAGCAGCCTCGCAGCCTCTCCCCCACCCTCATCCCCCACTATGACAGCAGGTGGTGGATCCTCTCCCTGCACCACCTCAGCCTACACAGCTACATCATTCAGTCACACAGATCTGTGAATGAATGAACTACAAGTCCCAACTTCCACTGCGGCAGATGGCTTATACAGTAGTTATCATTGAACTATCAGGGCACTCATCAGCGTCCTTGTAGCTCACTGACACTTTCTGGAGCTGGGTAACTGTCTGCCTGTATGGGAGGTATAGGCAGACAGCTGTCAGGAGTGTCTGTAGGTGCCTGACATTGCACCCCTGATCTACTGATCGCAGATGTGATGCTCTGCAGGCTCCATGGCAAAAAAAAAATATTAAATGCACATTTTTTTTTATACATGCAAAATTATGTGCATTTTATTATTATTTTTTTTTTTTTTTTACTAAAAGTGAACTTAGCCTTTAAAGCAAATATGCCAGTCTTCTTTATAGAGGTCTAGTCTTGGAGCAGTGACCACACATTTTTCCTTGCTGGGTGACTTCAAGTAAATTATGAACCTTGACAAGAGCGGAGGAAGAAAGGACAGAGGAAGATGCCAGGTGTCCGGGGCCATTGTAGCAGCTGAGCTGGAGTTCCTTCCAGTGTTCCTCTCAGATGCAGTCCCTTACTGCAAGCCAACTGGCGACTGCTGGTCACTGTGGGGTTCCAGCTCTTCTCTCCCTTTTC